ACAACACATGCATGCTCTCTCATGCTTCCCAGTGCAAAATGTGTGCAGTTTTGTGTTATGGTAAATATAGCCTGACATAAAAATAGCTTACCCTTAATAGGTATATGCAAGGCAACTTTTGGATTTTTTAATGGTAAAAGGATAGAAGAAAGGTTGTACTACCTTCAAGTAAATGTGATATGTAAGGTTCCAGTCAAATCTCTTCGGTCCCTACTTCCCTGTGTTTTCTCCACCAGTATCTACTACTCCTAGGCTGGTCACATAAGTTTATCAGTGCCTGTCATTGCCAGAGAATGTATAGTCTTTCTGTCCATTTAAACATATTCAGTTTTGGTCTGGAAAATTTGATTCATCCTTTTCTCCCCATCCCATCCCCTCCCACTTACCTGATGGTCTCTGCATTTGTCGCTATGGCCTTCAATGTTTTTAAAAATCTGATTTTATTGCTTAGAGGGCATAGCTCTTTTGCTTATAAGGAAGCAGATCTTCCCTTTTTCAAGCATTTGTTATGTAGATTGGAACAGAGCAAGGTTTACCTGTTTGTCTTGTTAACTCTTACTGCTAGAGAAGGGAGTAAGCAGGGAGAATGGCACCTCTTTTCTCTCATTTAAAGGCAGCATATGCCAGTAGGAATGCTTCAGAGCACTCTAACTTAAAAATAGAGAATGTCTGACTACTAGATTCTTTTTTCAAGGTGTGAATGAAAGTTTCCAAAGGCTCATCATTGGTGAATGTAAGTTCTACTCCTTATCAAGGAGTTAAAAGAAGACTGAACTGAGATTGAGGATATAATTTTGATAGTTTCTTTTTCCCCTTCTGTATTAGCAAGCATATAAGAAACAACTTGCGTTACTTTTTTTTTTTAGAGACTAAGCAGCAGTAGCTCAGAAGCTGTTCAATTATTCCTTCTGCTGGAGTAAACTTCGGTCAAAGGAGGTTGGATGTCTGGGGATGGTTTCCACATGAACCAGCCATTTTTGCTGGTACTTGAATCAAAGCCCACAATCGTCTCCCTTCTCCTTTCCCTTCAGCATCCCCTTCCTCTCCCCCAACGTGTAGTTTGGCTGCTTGTGCATCTTTGGGGTGGAGCCACAGTTTTACTCCTTTTCACCTATGCTAGAAAATAAGTTTTGTTCCCTGTACCCCCTACCTGGTTTGGGAGCAGATGATGCCTGTAGCTCACAGAGGGGAGTAAGTTGATTCTTTATATTGCTGTATTTCCTTAAACAGCCATGCTATGCCATCTTTCATCTCTTTATGCTTTCTCTAGTGTGTATCTTGTAACGCTTTTTCCTTTTGGCACAGAGTTCAGTTTTCTTCCTAAACCCTTTCTGTATAATGATGATCTTATTTACAGGCGAAGTGCTTTAACGTTTCTAGGCCTTTTCAGTAGCCAGCATGGTAGCAAGTATGTGTAACATCTGAATGATGTTGCTTTTCAGCTTTTTCCATGAAGGAGGAACAACAGAATTCAAAAGAAAAACTTCTCTAGGGTGACAGCCTTGGCAGCTAACTGGAATGCTGGAGCTCAGAGCTGCTTTGTCAATCGGAAAAAAAAAAAAAAAAGAAGAAAAAAAAGAAAAAAAAAAAAAGAGAGAAGCTATGAAACAAAGTGGCAATTCCTCTGGGAAGAGGAGCCCGAAAAGAAAAGCTAGAGCGATTAAACAGTAGTGCAAACATTAGAATGATTTGCATTTGGTGAAATTGCAAAGAATAATATATAAAAGTTCTTCCTGAGTGTGAGTACACAGTAATGTTACAGTTGGGTTAAAAGAAGCTATCTGTCCAATCTGTTTCTCTGTTTCTGAACTCTGCTAAATTTCTGAACTCTGCTAAACGTACGTCTGTACAGTTCAAAGATAAGATATTTCATATTCTAAATTAAACAATAAAAAAGTTACAAAAATGTAATTGAAATAGTTCCCATTATCATACAGAATGACATTATAAGAAAGAAGTTCCAGAATAACAAAATGATAAATATTCTCCTTGTTCTTACCTAGTATTATCTTACTCATTAATATGTTAGGCTCTGAACTAAAAAATCTTATTAAATGTGGATATTTGAGACTTTTGGTATTGGCAAATCCCTTTTCTTGTCTTTCCTTGCAGTTGAATAAATGTTCAAAGTATTCCATATTTCCTGAAACATTTTTCAGTGCTTATGGTTAAAACTGTTAAGTCTAAAAGCCTTTTGCTATTTCAAACAATTCGCATGAAATTGAAGTTTAAACTGATAGAAGTGTTGTCTAGCCATGAAAGAGTTAAAGGTTTAAATGAGGATTTGCTTGAATTTGCTAAGACTTAGGTTGTACGTGTATAGCAGCTTATTTTAGATAAAGCAAATATGTACCTAATGCCTGAAAACAGGATGATGATCTCTAAGGTGACAAGTCGTCCTTAAGAAAAGAACATCCTGGAAAATAAGTATTGATGCAAAAACATACTAGACATTGTTTCTTTATAGATAATGAGAGATAATGGAGGAGCCTTAGAAAAATATGTCGAGGAGGACACAAGTCCTTGTAAGTCCAAAACGTCTGGCTGTTAATCATGAAAAAGGAGCCAAAGCAAGGACTTCAAAGACTTGATAGGGAAAACGTCTTGTTACGAGAAAAAGTTAACCAGGTTGGAAGAACACCACAAATATTAAGTAAGCGAGAAACAGCGATAACTGATGGAAAAGTAGTTCCAGCAGGGGGAGATCATGACCACCGACTCATGGACCACCTGCCCTAAACACACCTCAGACCCGAAAGAAAGGGACAGAGGAAAAGGGCTGATCGTGGGAACTAATTTACGTGTGAGGCAAGAGAAAATTAGCCAACTGTTTAAGAGAATAACAAGGAATATGTAAATATGCTAATACATACTGTGTAAATGTTCACTGGATTTTAGAAGCGTGTGCTGCTGTCTTGGGCTAAGCACCCAAACTGGTGCAACTTTGTCATGAAGCAGTATGTTGGCTCAGCGTGTGGACTGGCTTATTGCACACCGAGTGAAGGAACCCCCAGATTTGGGAAAACAGAAGCACAGTCACATTTGTGAGTGTAACTTCAAAGTGTCATTTACAAGTCTACATTTACAGTCTGCTTGGAAATATTGCTGCCTTCTTTGGTGCAGAAAGCTTTTTATTTTTTTATTATAAGATTTTTCTATTTCCATTCTAAGTGGAATAAAATACATTTCTCTTACTTTTCTACTGTAAACAAGTGAATTGTAACTGCAGCTTCAAATTTCACCTTAGAAAACCTGTTTGCTATTTTGGCAGAGGGAAATATGTTTTTTTGTCTACTAAGTAAGCAGGTATTGAATCAGCATCTAAGTGATTTATTTGCAGGAAAGATTCGCTTTTAAAGTTGTCTGGTACAACAGAACCTTGATAGGAATTGACAGCCTTATTATAAAGGGCTGCTAGAATGTTATCTATTTGAAGACGTGAATATAAAATCCCCAAATATCACTCTTGCTTTCAGACCAAAATGCAAAGCACCTCAACTTAAAACAAACATCTCAGGAAAAAGACACTGCTGTTCTGAAGTTATTCCAGATCAGTCCCTGACAGCCACATCGTTGTTTCAGTTTCTCACTGGCACGCAGCCTGTCTGCACAGAATGGAGCAGCGTGTTAAATTTCCTGTTCAGCATGGTTTTGTGGGTTGCACAAGTATGGCTTTGTGAACCACGCTTAAGCAGGGCTTACAATCGCAGAGCGAGTTAGTGTAGGAATAGAGGTCTGGCTTCATTCTTTCCCTGGTTTAGTTCAACAGTCGCTCTTATGCTACTGTCAGTAATATGAATCTTTCGTGGAAAAAGGAAGGTAGACTTGAATTTTGTAGTTGTTTTCAAAAAGAAAATCTGACAAACAGCATTCATCATATACATAGGAGAACCAGTTTTAACTGGATTCTGGATTTCAGATTTGTTTCTGGAAAAACTGCAGAGACCAAAACCAGATTATTTTAGTTATGACTATGTCTCTGAACATCTCACATTTTGAGGAACTCTCTGAAAGTGGTAAAACCAGTGAGATTACACACGCCCACAGTAGTTTAAATATATTAAAAAAGTACACAAGGCAGCTAACTAGTGATAAAGAGAGAAAGTTGGCTTGCTTAGATGAATTTTTTCTTAACCTAACGCTTTGGGGCTGCTTATGGTATCTACGTTTCATACTCACAGTGAAGATTTGGTAGAATAAAGCATTCTCAGCTTCATTGTGTTTTGTAGTTGAGATGACACAAAGGGCCCTTCTTTACAGGAGGCAACACACACAATTTTCACAACCTGAAGGAAAATTCTTTTTGTAACTATTTTTTTCATCCAGAAAGCATGAGCAGCTGGGTGGGGGCGTGAAGAATGAGAGGAGTTTGGAACAGAACATCTTGAGCATGTAAATGGTCATATTTGTGAGCAAGAAACAGCAATCTCTTTCTGAGAAGGGTAGAATACAGAATCTGTACCAAGCCTGTTACAACATTTGAAACAAGAAAAATCATGCAAAGGTAAAGTGTAAAAAAGCAAAAATGCTTAGTAAAACACTCTCTCATTTTAAATACGAATAAAATTTGGAAGACAAGTGAAGACAAAGAAAGGATGGTGGATGTTCCCAGGTCTCATAGCCCTCTGTTTTGCTGCTGACTTTCCAGCAGTGGGAATTTTCTTACCATGTGAGAAACTTGCTTGTTGCTTTTACCATTGCTAGGGGGTGTTTATGATGTACCATAACAAATAACAATTCCTGCGTGTAATGGACTGAGCATGTAGATTTGTGTGTGTGTGAAATTCAATTTGTAACACTAAAGACTCAGACCAGATTCTGATAATGTATCAGTGCTTGGACTTGCTCAGCATAGTCTAATTTTTTTTCATTCTGCCATCCCCTGGGCCAGTATCTGTGTAACCGCTTTGACAGCTCTGAACAGTGTTAATGAAATTAATGTTAAGTTTTTATTTTTGTTGATATTGCAAACTAAATCATATTCATTGCACGCTTACCTGATGTCTTCTGGAGACCTGCGATGTTTGCAAGAGAAACCGTGCAATAAAGTTGTAGAGAAGACTGTAGAAAAAGCTACTGCTGGTAAAAAAAATAATGAATCTTGCACGAACTGTAAAGGTTGTCTTGATGGCTATATATTAGAAGAAGCAATTGTAAACTTTGTATTCACAGTTTATCAGTGTATATGTGTGAGAGTGGTAAGACAAGGAAGGTTTCTTCAATCTTTAGCCCAACCGAAAGCAGATCTGGTGAGGTAGTATTAAAGCATTATGCGTAGCTGTTAATACAAAGGGACTATAAATCTTGAATACATGTATTGCTAATGAACACTAATGTAAATGGCTCATAAATAGGTAAAATGTGAGAAGTACCTGTATCTTAATTTACCATGTGGAAGAAATGTGAAAGCAGGCATCCCAGATGAAAATTACTTCTTGCCCGTAAATTTTATAGAAAAATATCATACTTGTTCTAGCTTTACAAGTATTAAAATGAAGTATGAGTATTAAGCAGTTAATACAGAGAAGTTCAAATTAATGTGACTAAAATAAAATAAAAAAAATTAAAAGTATAAAAACATACAGATTTTAAGAAACGGCGTCATTATCTAGAGCATTTGTACTGACTATGGTTAATAGCTTACATACTGTTAAAACCATTTGCTAGAATACAAGTCAACCTATATATACACCTGTAATTCAGCCTATTTTTAACTGAATTCAAATTCAGACATTTCCATCTCTTCTTGTCATTCCTGTGCCTCCATAAACAAATAGCATTCTTAGCTCCTACTTTGTAACGTCACTATTGAATGCACTAGGTTATTCTTCATGTTTATTGTTGTTTTGCTAATTTTGTCATCTATTCCCTTCTCCTTGAAGTAATGGCTACTAGAGAATAGCTGGCTTGTGTGCTTGGTCTTGTGACAAAAATGTGAGTGCGTACTGAAGTTTAGCAATATTTTCTTTTTTCATTGTCTTTCAATTTTCAGATTTCCTGTTTAAGTTCTTGGTCATAGGAAATGCTGGGACTGGCAAATCCTGTTTACTACACCAATTTATTGAAAAGAAATGTAAGTATATGTGAGCACAGTAAAAGTCTTCCCTTGCTTTGTACCACAGATGAAAACTGCCCACATGAGTATCTATTCTTTGTATGGAAGTTCCCATAATTCTTTTGTTTGTATAGATGAGGATTTTGACTGAGAATTACATTCAGAACCATGCTGTAAATCTTTATTGCTCACTGTTTGCCTCTAATAAAAAGCCTGATGCTGAGCAGTATTCTCCATTACTCTCAAATAAACAAATTGGGATGTTGATGAAACTACAGACTTACTTTTTTGCAGCTATAAGCTTCCCTAGATACATAGTAGAGGCTTGTATCTGTTAGAAAAATACTGAGCAGATGAAAATAAAGTTGAACTGCTTGAGTAGATATAGAAAGCTTGTAGTCTCTTTCTAAATAAAGAAACACTCTGTGTTCTTTAAGGACTGTGTTCTGTGATAAATACTGGTAGAGACCCCATTGTAAATGTTATTGAGATATTAATAGATGATACAAAAAAAAAATCCTGTTGGGTAGTGCATTTAGCATCATGATTAAACAAAAATAATATGCACTTAGAAACCTTGGTAAATCTAAGGTGACTGTTATCGTTCTCAACCCAATGGTGATTGGCCTTATCTCTTGTGGAACAGCTTTAGGATAATAACGTGTAATCACTAAGGAACATGGCGTGATTCTGTGATTGAACTTGAACTGCGACCTTGCTTCTAGGAGGGGCAGTTACATATTGCTGAGAATATATACAGTATCAACAGTGTACATAGAGCAAGTATCTGAACTTCGTGCTTTTAAAGAAGAAGTAGCTCTTGCTTACTCGTGGGCAAGACTGTATTTTTGTGCTCTGCTTTTCCATGAATTTTAATTTTAAGTTGCACTGAAGTATTAGAAACGCAGTTCGGAAAAAAGTGTACAAAAGTTATCTTGCCTTTTGTTAATGTGAACTGGGAATGATTTGATTAAGGCAGGCCTTTTTAGTAGTAATTTTGAATTGAATAAGCTGTTGAAAAATTGTAGGAATGTTTATTTCTGCATGGTGGCAGTAGACTTATGAGTGGCACTGAATCTGATGGTTTAGGAAGTAGTTTGTAATTTGAACACTGAGGAGTTTTGATTATACCTAAATGGGATTATGTAAAAACTAATTATTCACTCTAAATATTCTCCAAATAAGTCTATTTTTATTTCTTTTTCGTAGTCAAAGATGACTCAAATCATACTATAGGAGTGGAATTTGGTTCAAAGATCATAAATGTTGGTGGTAAATATGTAAAATTGCAGATATGGGATACAGCAGGACAAGAGAGATTCAGGTACCCTTTTCCATCATTTTATTTTAGTGCTTGTTATTAAATTGTTGCTGTGGGTGTTGGGTATTATTTATCCCTGCTTATAAGTAGGCATAGTTTCTTGGTCAGTGGAACTGTTTGTCTGCTTTCATGTTATTATCTAGGCCAGATCTGCCTGCTTGGACATAGCGACATAGATCCATTGATTTCAGTAAAGCAGTGCTGCCTTGCAGGGTCTGAGGTTCTGCCCTTTCTTTCATTAGGTATTTTCTGTGATAGTTGAGGTATACAAGTAGAATATGTGGCTAAAAGTTTGTTTACTGGCCAAACTCGGAATAGTTTTTTAACTATATGCTTAACTTTGTGCTTAGAAGACCTTCTCTTGGTTGGAATGAGTAAATGCCAGGAAGTTGTAAGCTGTTCAAAATCTGCATGAGATCAATTTTATAGTATAGTATTATTTTAGTAGGGGGAGGGGGGGAATAATTTGTCAAGTTTGCGTGGCTAAATACACTTCTAGAAAGACTGAGATCTCTTAAGTTTCTTAAAGAAAAAGCAATGTCTTTGTCAGCTTAGAACAACCAACGTACTTATAATGCTGTATTTTAACCGAGTCGTGCGTCTGAGGCATAGATCAAACTTACTAAAGAGCTAATGTATTCCTGAGTGCATTCACCATCAAATAGGACATCAGTGTTTTATATTTCGGGGGAGTGGGGTGCCGGGGCGGGGAAGAGGGGAGTTTTCTTGAGACAGGGCATTGGTTAACAAAGGCGATTATGGTGGTAGAAGTCTCAGTAATGGGCAGCAATCCAGGCAAATATCCTCTATTAGACAAGTTATTTGGATACGTCCATGACTAAGTAAAGCTGGATAGTGCTATGTAGTCTCCATTAATGAAATCTCTTCAGCGTGTTGGCCAGAATCCCAGGATTCTGAGGAGATTGGAGGCTCTGTACTTTCAGAGGTTTGTGCAAACTCAGCCCTTTCAAGTTCAAAGTGTTCACGGACTTGGAGGTCCTCTTTTTTCTGTTGCTTTTTATAATCTAGTTCTTTTCTTTTTAAGGCTGATCACACCTCTGTGTACTTTTTTTCTTCTTCCTCTACCTTTTGAAGGATGCTTTGCATTGTTTTCCTTGCCTCTTTCTCTTCAACTTGAGTCTTAAATTGTTCAGTTACAGCTACTTTGCTCATTCCCTCTTCACTGCTGAGAGTTCAAACGTAAGTGAATTATGATGTTTTCATGCCACAGGTACCACCATCAGGTCCCAGTTTTGTATCAAGCCATATAGTATGATAATATGTGTAGCTTCAGCAGCACACAGGTCATAACAGACTTTGAGTATCCCTGTACAGCTACGTTTAGTGAAAGGGCTTCATGAAAAGTCTCGTTGTAGATAGTCTGCTGCTGCACAGCTGATAATGTTGTCTAAAAAACACATTTTATTTTAAAGATGTAATTTCTGTAAATGAAATATTCTGTTTCATAATATAGATTGCATTGTATTAACCCAGATTTGAAGCAACGAAGATACTACAGAAATGTACATCTGTAATTCTATTTCAGGTCTGTAACAAGGAGTTACTATAGAGGAGCTGCAGGTGCTTTGCTTGTCTATGACATAACCAGGTAAGAAAGCTAGCAGCCCTTTTGCTTATAGACTACCAGATGCATCGTGACTCCTCCCCAAGTATCTAATCGTCTAATGGAGAATAGACAGGAAGAAAAGAAAATAAGTATAGACTTCTGTTTTAGCGCGTATTTGTTTTGTAACTTGCTTACATGAGATATTGTGAATGTCATAAACATAAACAGTCTCAAAGGGTTAGACAAATATATGGGAATTGGCCCACCAGTAGTTGTTCTAATCATGGTGGACTACATGCAACCACTGGCTCAGGAAGCCTTGCAACAGACACTAAGAGCAGACTTTAGCCATTTTTGACCAAGGTGGTTACAGCCCTGTTTCTGGAAACTGCTTGTTAGTATGCTGGTGTAACAAGTCATCCTCTGGAGAAGCTAGCTCTACCTACACGTTCCTTAACTGTAGGCCAAAATTCTGTGCATCTCTGCGTCTCTTAATATTTTAATATTATAGGCAGCCAATAGAATACCTTACCGTTACACACTTCCACACTTTTTTCCTGGCCACCATTGTCAGATAAAAGCAACAGATTGAGCAAAAACTTGTCCTGTGAGTGGACTGTTCTCCTCTGAGCAGTCTTTGAAATCTGTGGTTTGTGCTTAAGGTCAGTTGGGCTTACCTGTCACTCTCACTGCTTGGAGGCTTTATCTCTGACCACCACCACAATGACTAGTGGTGTGTGCTGGGTAACTGCCTGCGAGATTATTGGCTTGACACAAGTGTGAAAGTTCAGGCATGCAATTCTGCACAAGTGTAGGAAGTTCCTAAAATTCTACCTGAAACTTAAGTCCATGTTAAACAATAACTCATTCTGTTATCCCAAAATTTCATGCACAAAAGGCTGAAACTAGATTAGTGCTTAAAATTTTAGTTTTTCACATTAACAGGGTATTTTATAATTGTGTGTACGTATTTATATATTGTGTTTGATTTAATTTTGCTTTTTAAAAACTTTAAGGTTTTAAATAGCTTCATGAAGGAACTTGATACTCTTCCCAGTTTGTAACTGGCATATTGAGATGTGTAGGTCACTTGCCTGACTAGCAGCAATTTGTTGTTTGCCACAAATACAGATTTGCCTTCTGAGTTTTAGCTCAGTGATCTGTTCATGAGAAATGAGTATGTTCTGATAAAGGATGTCATTCTCTACATAGCCGAGAAACCTACAACGCGCTTACTAATTGGTTGACGGACGCAAGAATGTTAGCAAGTCAAAATATTGTGATAATACTGTGTGGAAACAAAAAGGATCTTGATGCAGATCGTGAAGTTACTTTTTTAGAAGCATCCCGGTTTGCACAAGAAAATGGTAAGTAGTACAGAATCTTCATTTAGCAAAGATGCTTAATACTTAAAATAACTTATTTTTTTGTGCACTAGGGAGTACTTTGCCCACTGTACCTTGTCAAATACTTACAGAAAAGAGAGTTCTGTGAGTACATGAGGCATAGAGAGAGGACAGTGCCTGTAGTGAGAACTACGAGTACTATTTAAGTCTCATTACCAGTGATTCTTCCAGTTACAGCTGCTACTTAAAGAATACCTTCTGTGTGGAGATATATCCCCTAGGGAATGTAATACAACTTCAGGAATTACCTTGACTCCAAAGGGCTGGGGAGAAAATGAAGAGCATGATTTCCTTGTTTTCAGCATCTTACAGATTCTGTAGAACATAGACAAGGTTGGGTGGGGTGTGCTGCAGTTGGAATCAATGAGTTTTACTCATGGGGAAACTGAGTTCAGTGCATGGTATGGATCCAGAGGACTATTACCTGGTCTGTAGTATTCAGAATTTCCAGTCTGAGGACACATTTCTGTGGCAGCTAAAACTAGTCTCAGTCTGAGCATCTGTGCAGTCCTGCCATCAGTCAAATCTGGTTTTGCTTTTATAAATCAATTATAAATAGTTTTTTCTACCAACTGTGGCTGCTGACTGTCCTTTTGCATGTAACTTCATATTAATGGGAAACTATATGAAGATTTTTAGTTTCATATGCTATTTTGCATGCACAGCCCGGGTTATTATCTTTGGATTACAACTTGCTAGGGTTAACATAAATTTCAGAGGAAGTTTTTTGTGGTTTTGCCATCAAAAGCTAATTTTTTCTGGACCATACTATTTGACAATAGTTTTCCTTAAGAAAATGTTTATTGTTCCTAGCTTTTGTGCTTTGAATTACTATATCAGATATTCCAGATTTGTTTTGATATTGTTTTTCTGGTGTCAAATGCAGAGCTGATGTTCTTGGAAACAAGCGCACTAACAGGGGAAAACGTTGAAGAGGCCTTTGTACAGTGTGCAAGAAAAATACTCAATAAAATTGAATCAGGTAAATTGAGATTTATTTTCTTTTAATGTTGTTTTTTTTCCTGAAAACTAAAAGTACGTATGGAAGTATCGCCATTCAAAGTTCTCTAATAGAATTAACCCAAAGAACCAAAATTTCACTGTGGTAAAATAACCCATTTGGTTTATAGCTGCTTCCCATATGTTTTAATAGGAATGAACGTCTTAAGTCAGTTCTGTGTATCTAAGAGGGGGGAGGTGGTGTGAATTATGGATGTTTTTACACAATGTTTACCTTAAGTCAGCTCTGAGTGTAGGCTGTGCGTTCTGTGGGTGGCTCTGTCCCTACAAAATCAAGCCTGACATCAGACAGTTTTAGCAATGCAGAATAAAAACCTAGTATCAGGGCAGACATAGCTTTTAAATCTGCTGCTCACGTAGCCGGAAATACAGTCAAGAGAATTTTAACAATAATACTGAAAATTTCAGGGATGTTTCCTAGCAACTGTGTTTCTCCAAAGTGACCTTTCTGCTTCTTGGTTGAAACCAGTTTTACTTTTGCAGATCTGGAAATATACCGGAAGCTTCTAAGTGCAAGTGGGCAGGTTTCTATCGGAGATAGGCTCTTAAGTGTTAGCTGTCATCACAGCTAATTTGTATTCCGGTTTTCTTATCTTGTAGTTGTTTGATAGCTTCAAAGTTTTAAGTATTGGCCATATTGAAAAGTCTGTGTCTCACTCTAATTACACATTTTGAATGCCAAACACAAATTTTTAGATTAAAAGAATATGGTATTTTCATAGGAATTTCCTGATTACTGCAACAAATCAATGCCAAACAGCAGCTTTCATTTTAAACAAACAAACTCCAAAAAGTAAAGTATAGCTAGTTTCTCATGATACTGTAGTCCCATGACTGGTTTAAAGAGGCATTACCACAACAGAAGTCCTGTTTTCTGTGAGCTGCTTGTTTTCTTTGTGCCAGCACACATGCATTGGATCATGGAAAAATGGAGACTGGAAAGAACCTATGGAGGTCTCTAGTCCAGCTTCCTTTTTAAAGTACATTCAGGTTCAAAGTGAAAGCAAGTTGCCCCGGGCTTGTTGAGGCACCTTTTGAGATGCTCCAGGAACAGGGATTCCACAGCCTCCCTGGGCAATGTATACCAGTGCCAACCAGTTACTGCTATCTACCTAGTCAGTCCCCAGCCTGTACCAGTGCTTGGGGTTGTTCTGTCAAGCTCTGCATGTGTAGTTCCTGAGTTTCATGAGGTTCCTGCTGAAAAAAATAGTTCAGCCAAGGTCTTTTCTGAATGGCAGCCCTACCCTGGAGCTATCAACCAGTCCCCTCAATATGGTGTCATCTGCTAACTTACAGAGGGCTCACATGTGTGCAATGAACCTGAATAACTGATCTGAATTATTCAGAGGGATTCCTTATTTTGTTGTTTGTTTTTTGGGTGTGTTTTTGTAGACTAAATGTTTCTAATCTCAGCCAGCCCACCATACAGCCATAAGAAAATTTCTGAAGGCACAGGGTATAGAGTAAGCAGAAGTGGATACCAGAAGTAGGGAAGGTTGAGATAACCTCCTCTGGGAAATTGTTCCATTTTTGTTTGGCTTTGTCTCTACAATACTACTTATGCATATTAGATCTGAAAGCAAGTGGTTTTTAACAGTGTTTGCAGAATCCATTTTGGACATTTCCTTTGTTAGAAGTACTTAGTGCAAATACGTTTCTTGTTGCAGCCTAACTCGGAGACAAACTGCTTTGTCGTTATGATTAAGGGCACACGGTTGAAATTACAGGAGAAAATTATACAGGTTTGGAATTGTCTAAAAGTAAACAGAATTGCAATAGATTTCTCCATAACTAGAGGAGAACATGATTATGTATTTTTAATCTAATGTTTTCAGTTAAATTGGAATGTATTATTTGCAAGTGATCCATCTTCTTGTGACCGTTTTGTTTCTCGTCAGGAGAATTGGATCCAGAAAGAATGGGCTCAGGTATTCAGTATGGAGATGCTGCCTTGAGACAGCTGAGATCACCACGTAGAGCACAAGCACAAAGTGCTCAGGAATGTGGGTGTTAAAGAAGCAGAACACAAATTCCCAAATACTCACTTTAGATACAGAAGGTAAGGTTACAAAAATCTCAGGGTGTTGGGTACATTACCATATTTCATAAATGCGCTGCATCGAGTGCTTGGCTTTTTCACAGTTAGCCTGTAAAGTAACAGAATATAGTGAAATAAAGCACAGTAGAATGGATTTTTTTTTTTTTATATACTTTGATTTTTCTTCTACTGTCTGCCCACTAAAGCAAGACCAGTGTTCTTACTGAAGTATTTATAGATCTTTGCTTACTCTGAGTAATGCTGTGGAAAACATTTTAAAATTCTGTATTCCTGAAATGCATTATAGCCCTAATAGTTACCTAATGCACTGTAGAAAGGGTGAATCGTTTCTGTTGTGTCATGGATAAATATTACTAGAAATGAGAGTTCACAAAATGTATGGTGCAGCATCTTGTCCAAAGCTATTATATGGTCTTTTCTGAAAATACAAAGTTTAAAGACTGAGACTTGAAAATTAAAGACAATGCTGAATTTCAAACTTCCACTGACTTTTTTTCCCTACCTAAAACCAGCCCAAAGTGGTTCTTATTCCTGTCTGCTATGAGCAGAAATGTCAACAAGATAATAGTAGAATTTGCTGCTTAAGCAGTGTTCTCATCTAAAGCAGCTCTTCTAGAGCTGTTCTGGTCTATTGGAATGGGTGTGCAGTCTTCTGAAAGTTTTCCAAAGACATTCTTCAGAGGAAGTGAGGAACAGATTTTTCCCTTTAGCAGTGGTATGGGAAGAAACCTAAAAGGCACATAACCTACTCCCAAGAACAGCTTGGTGGTTAGTTGGAAACAGTTGTGCTTAAGACACCTCTCAATATTCATGAATTTTACTTACATACTGCAAGGAGTTAAGTGGCTGTTAGGACAGTCCTTTCTCCCTCACTCAATGAGGGTAGTTAAAGAATCACTGTGTAGTCAATTATTCTGGTATCATTAATCCTTATTTCTCTAACACGAGGACAGTGATATCTAAATTAGTACTGCAGGCATAGTTACTGCATCATTTTTACTGTTTTCATTTTTTATCAGTTTGAGCAGTGCACACCAGCAGCAGCTTTGCAGAACATTAAGGCAGTGTACAATTCTACGTTCTCATATTTTGTTCTGTATTCTGGAAGCTTAGCTCCCAATTAAAGCTCACCATTTTAAATAATGGATAGGAATCCTTGGACTGCTTTCCTCTCTTTTTATTTTCCTCCTGTAAAATATCCTTCAACTAAAAGACTGCTGGAAAAGGGCATTAATTTAGTCTAGCTTTGGTACAGCTCTTCAGAAGTGAATATTTATTGATCTTTTTCAGGAGCTGAGTTTTCAGATTGATCAGATGTGGATAATTGATGGAGTTCTTGTGTCTTTACAGCTGTCCTTGCAAGTGGTGTTTGAAGAAACAGACAAAGCTTGAAGGCTATGCAGTTTTTAAAAACATCTTTCCACTATCTACAGAGCAGACCACTGCTGTCAGAAAGGTGTACCATGTAGTGCGGGGCAGGAATCTTCACAACACAAAAGTCTGCAAAGAGAACTCGATAATTCGGTGGACAATGTTAAGATTGTAAACATTGTAAACTGTATGTAAACATTTTCCATTACCTATTTTTGTTCTTTCACCTCTAGTTTAAAGCATTGCTATATACTGTAAATAATGTAACAGTAAATTTACAAAGCATGGTATACTTATGTATGCTGATAGAATGTTGCACTACAAGCAGTTTAATATTTTATTTTTTTATCATATAAACAAATTTAACTGAGGTAGGCTTTGTCATCTTTGTTTGTTGCACAATAGTTTATATTTATGACCTGAATTATAAAACCACTGGCACTGTCAGTGAGGGGTTGTTGGGTTTTTTCCTACTTAGTTTTGCTGCATTCTAACAAACTGTTGACGCGACTGATTCTCAACGTATGGTTAGGACCCATATTTATCGTCATTAATATGTCAAGTTGGAAAAGTAGTTTTTATTGCCATTCACATACCCTATTTTATCACAATTCTTAAATAACTTCTGAAGCTCTTTTATGGAATTTCAAAAGTTTAGGAAAATACTTTTAAGTCTCTCAAATGACTCTTGACTGACTTGGATTTGGGAATTTTCTGTTTTCTTGGTCCTGATGTTTTGTATAGCACTGACATCATGAAGGTGGAATGTATATGTGAACAGAACTGTGCATCTTCTGTGTGTGTTGTAATTCTAGGGCAGGCGCATGGGCTTATGGAGAATTACCACAGTAGGAATTCTCCTCACCTCTTCTCACAAACAGAGCAATCAGCTGTGGAAATATGATCTCTGTTGAAGCATACCTGGTGAGGTACAAACTGAACCCAAATGGGTTCTTCTGAAGTATCTTGAATGTATGAAATTTAGAATACTAATTTCTTTTTCTTAAACATTCATAAAGTACAAATAAGAACTTGAATTTTAAAATTGGGAATTTACAGTCTGTCTTGCTGGAGCTCCGCTTTTGAAATTCATGTAAGTGCATTGTATGTAATGCTGTCCACGTTGCCCCCAGGAGACTCAGGTGATAGAAGGAAAAAACCACAAGTGTACTACTTATGTACTACTTTCTTCCTGTGAAACTCATCAAGGGGAATTTCAGCCTTGGTACAGATTTTTGTTTTTTCCATATGTTAAAACACACAATTCAGACTTTCTTTCCTGCCCTCTTTTTAATGTGGGGAAGAGGCATGGGGCAAGAGATTAGGAATCCTGTCCTCATTCCTCAACTGGAGACAGAAGAGGAAGAGACTTGCAGAGAGTCCAAGAGGGAGGACTGAACCACAAGTACTGCATATCATTTTTACAGTGCCATGACAACTGGTCAGGTAAGAGACCTGTGGCTTTTGTTTTGCCAGATAAGGAGCTGTGGAACTAAGCTGGTGTTTCTGGACAGCGCTGAATTCAACCAATGAGGGGGAGCAATTCCACATGCACTGAGGGAAATGAGTAGTGATGTTTCTACGTAGTGACTTGTATAACCAGAAATTGAATGTCTCCTTGGAAGTGCAAATTAACACCAAACTATTAATTTGATCAGAACCTAGTATTGAAATTCCAAGGTCAAACATGCTTTTTATTATTTTCTGTTTGACTCTCTTCTCTTTGAGAGTCACTTGTCAAATGCATGTTTAAAAGCTAAACCAGAAAACTGAACTGATGCTGTAATTTAGAGGGCAGTTAAAGCACAAGAGCAAAGCAAGAATGTTACACAGAGGGATACCATCTTTCATGGAATTAGAATGGTGTTTAAAACTATTCCCTTCATCCTGACATTCTTGGTTCAAAAGGATGCTTATCTCAAAATTATACACCTGAGGTGATCTCTGAATTAAAAGGAATTAAGTTTGCTTTGTACTTAAAAAGCTGAGGTTTAGTTTTAAAAAGGCTATTGGTTCCAAAGATTTTGATGTTATATCTCTTGCCTATGTATCCTGTTATATTTAGGACTGGATTTGTTATATAACCAATAACAATTATTCCCAAGGAATCCACTGGTAAGAGCATAAAGTATTTTTCAAGCAGCTTAACTGTGCCTTTACCAGAACAAAGAACTCCAAAGAAACTCACCTGTCTTAATCCTCATTCAACTTATTTTGGCTTCTACTACTCAGAACTGGAAGCAATTACCAAAAGCAAGTGCTGGGAAGTGGATATTGGATGTCATGGTCTCCTCCACCAGTCCAAATGACATATTATTAACTAAGATGTGTTGTGTTTCTGCCAGAGTTGGGGAGGCAAAGGTGTTGGTTCTGAAACCCTGAACCAGTTCTGGAACGCTGGGAAAAGATGAGATTTGGGTAGTCTATTCCATGCTTACCACCATCTGATCAGGTTTCTTGGTACACTGACAGAAGTGAAAGCTGAGCATGCACTTGTCAACTGGGACATGACACAAGCAAAGCTAAAGGTCTCTCTCCTGTCACAATGGTTGAAGTGGTATTGACTGTTGATCAAAACTTCTTTCCATTACAGTACCATCTGAAAGGAACAGGGGACTGTTACTTGATTCTGTTGCTTTTAAATAGAAATCCTAGGTGTTTGGCAGGGATTTTCTTATACTGCTTCCTGTCCTTTTCCCTTTACAAACAAGACTGGCCTCTTTTGTATACTTGGTTCTTACGATCATTTTGGTCAAGTGTCTGTGGTTAAGAAACAGTAAGCACAGTTTTATTCTTTCTGTAACCAACTGTCTTAAGATGTCACCTTTCTATCTGGAAGGAAAGAACAGTGTCATTATAATGAGTTGTGACATGTTTTTACCATTTTTTTAATGTATACTCCTACTGTATACACATTAACCAGGTTAATGTGCATGTTTTATAGTATCGCAACCTTTTATGCTGCATATCTCACTGACATTTTAAAAAGAAACTTTCTAAAATGGCAAGTCCTGATGGAAACACTGTTGGAAGCAGTAGCTCTCACCAGTGCAAGCTATATTGTTTACTGTTTCTCTTCTGAGGGTTTTTTAATTTCTAAAAATAAACATCATGCCAATAACAGCCCTAGAGTAGATTTTAAGCTTTAGCATTCTAGTTCCCACAGCAAACCAAACCTACTCCCCTAAACAGTAAGTGATAAATAGGTTAAATTATGTATGTTTTTAGTGTAAAATTCTTACTTTACCAAAGCAAGATGGCTTGGAGTTTTACGTGGAATAACACTGGGTACCTATATCCTAGGATTTATTGAATGTGGAACTTTAGCTGTTCAGATCTCTAAAAGATTTAAATGTCTTATTAAAGCCTATGTCTTGCCTTTTAATCAGTCTGTTGGCCTACACTATTTCATTTAATGCTTGTACCTAGCACCAAATAAAGAATCTTTCTTCATTTTCTAGGTGTCTGTTTTGGTTTAACCCAGCCAGTAACTAAACAGCATGCAGCTGCCTGCCCACTCTCCCCCACCCCTGGGGAATAGGGAAGAGAATTTAAAGGGTTGGGAGAAGAACAATTAAACAATTAAATAATTAAAATAAAAATAGTGATAAAAGTAATAATAATATATACAAATAAGTGATGCACAGTGACCATGCAGTGACCAACACCCATCCTGCCCTAGCATGTGATCCTGAAACAGAGAAGTCCCAAAACTGTAAGCCTGGAAGAACAAGAAGCCTAAAAAGAGATCCAAAAGAAGCCAAGAATCCAAACTCCCTGGTCAAACCTTATCTATATACTGAGCATGACCTTGCATGATAGGAATATTCTATTGCCCACCATTTGGATCTCAATCTTAAGTCCAAATACAAAGCATAAGCTTGGGTCCTCTGGGCCAGCTATGCTCGCCTCCAGCCTGTTGTGCTCCTGCACACTGGCAAAACATGGGAAACTGGAGTCCTTGAGGTCTCAGCACCAACTATAAATCTCTGTGTGTTATTAACATTCTCATAACAAATCCCATACTAAAACCAAAACACAGAGCTCTTCTAGCTACTAAAAAGAAAACCCAGCTTCTTCCCAGCCAAAACCAGGACAGTATCTCACAGCAAATTCTGCTTGTACAAGTTTTGCCTGCTAAGCAAAGTCTATAATATGACTTCTGCAAAATTCATTGCATTGTCAGTATGGGGCTAGGAAGGCAGCAGCAGCTGCTAAAGGAACAGGAGTGGAAGCAGGAGCACTTCAGTGTATTTCCCTGGAGCTGGGCCCTCAGTGCACTCTGGTCGCAGCTTTGCCCGTGGCAGGGGAGGGCTGCAACACTGCTGCTGCCACCCCCTGTTAGAAAGGGATAATGTATCACTTCCGTTCTTTGTCCTTGAGGGGTTATTGCTGCAAAGGTGCACTTAACTTTCCTTGTGTCTGAGATCATAGTATGGTTAGGGACCTCAAAGATCATCTAGTTCCAAGCCCCCTGCCATTGGCAGGGGAAACCTCCACCACACCAGGGTGGCCAAAATTCTCTTCCA